AAGGACAAACGGGGAAGTCGGTTCTCTCCTACCACCATGTGGGTCCTAGGGATCAAACTCAGTTGGCCAAGCCTGACAACAAGTAGATTATCCTCTGAGCCACCTTGTCAGGCTCATACTTTGTTTTTCTGTGTGCACCCAACCACTTTCTATAACAAATGAAGCTCTTTGAGGCTGTCTGTGTATCATACTCCTTTGGAACAGCAGCCATTGATGCTATGGCTAAGGCAGCTGGAGAATACACACAAAGAACTTACAATAAGCAACTTCCAAAGACCCTACCCACAATCCTCCTCTACCTGTTGATCATGGTCGCGTCTCATCCTCATGAAGTGGGCTAGACCTAATTATTTGCTTCCAAGAAACTGAATGTACCAAAAGAATTGGGGCGTTGCCTCCAAGGCTAGGTTAACTCTAGGCTTTGTTCTTTGTTTGCTATGTGACGAGTTCTTCTATTTGCAGGGGACCGAGGGCATGGGTAGGGACATGTCATTTTGTATTATCAGGACACTTGCACCCCATAGAGGAATCTGCTTGTCCATGTCACTAATGACCTAGCATAAACACGATGTTAACCGATAGCTTGCTGTGTTAGCTCCTTCCAGCCTGATGCCCCTAGGGGAGGACAAGGTAACACCAGCCTAAAATGACTTGCATGTCAAGAAGTGCCTGAGCCCCAACAGCAACAATATGGGGAAAGGATGCAAGAGGTGACAAGGGAAGAAAAGAAGCTCAGACATCACAAATCCCCCAAATGGGGATGATCACGTGGCCGGAAGAGCAAGAGTGAGCTCCAGGATGTGACTGTCTTCATTCCCTCTCCCCCAAATGGGGATGATCACGTGGCCGGAAGAGCAAGAGTGAGCTCCAGGATGTGACTGTCTTCATTCCCTCTCCTGCCTCCTTCTGCCTGAATTCCCCACCAACCCCCCCTCTGCTTTCACCACCCCCACTTCCTTCAGCCTTCATCCCCCTCCTTCTTCCTCTAAAATTCTCTGTCTGGAAGCGATTTCAGGCTTTTACAGGACGTCAATCCATCATCTTCTCTGATTGACAGCTCTCTGAATAGAACAGTTTTAAGATTAAGTTTCCATCTCTGCAGATCACTCTCTGCAATTGAGGGAGGCTCTGGTATCGCACTTGCACTGTGAAGAGGCGACTATGACACAGAGGGGAAGGAGGTCTCTCACCAGCAGCCCATACAGAACTGAAATACAACTCTAGGGGTGGAGATGACGTCAGCCTTGTGGCCCCGGCGAAAATACACGTGGGGCACCAACCACAGAAACTGCATGTGCTTCAACTCGCTGTTTGTGGGGAAAGTCGTTATTCAGCGGCAGATAACTAATACAGAGCCCCAGCCCTGGATAACTATCTTGATCTAAGAAACACGGCCTGGATGAAACAGAGAAAGGTCTAACCTGTTCCATGGAGAGACTCTACATCGAAATTTAAAAGGTAATGGGAGAATAGTACTGAAGATTTTCATTGAAATGTAAGGAAAATTTTAGCATTTCTTTTAATTTTATCCTTTCAGGTTACAAAAGTATGTTAGTTGTTCCTTATAATGTTCCTCTCTCTCTCTCTCTTTCTCTCTTTCTCTCTCTGTTTCCTAAAAGTATCTTGCTGGACTTGCTGGCCCACACGTTTAATATTAGCACACAGGAAGCAAGGCAGGCAAAGCTCTGTGAGTTCAAGGCCAGCCTTCCCAATAGAGTGAGTTACATGCCAGGCAGGGCTCTGTAAGAAAGACCCTCTCTCAAAAGAAAACACACACACACACACACACACACACACACACACATACACATACACACACACACATTTTTTTAAAAGTATCTTCCGTGCTCCAGTGGATGGCCCCATACTTGTCCAGAATGGGCAGCATTAAACCAACATGTGTGTGTATGTGTGTATGTGTATATATATGTATGTATATGTACATACATACATAGGATGTCAGTGGGAGGGCATGTTGGGGAAAATATGGACTATGGAAGAAGTTGGAGAAGAAAATAGATATGGTCACATTTCTTTGTATACATGTATAAAAGTCTCACAAAGAAAAATATTAAAAATTAAAGAAAAATATTTAAAAAGCAGTTGCATGGAAGCATTTAGAGTGTACCGAATTGAAGACAGGGTGCCTAAATAAAATTAGACCACATAGATCACTGATTTATATGTTACTTTTTTGTTGTTTGTTTGCTTGTGTTTTGAGACAGGGTTTTTCTGTGTAGTCCTGGATGTCACGGAACTCACTGTGCACACTAGGCTGGCTTTGAACTCGGAGATCTGCCTGCCTCTGCCTCCTAAATAGCTGGAATTGAAGGTGTGCACCGCCACTGCCCAGCATGTCACAACATTTTAAAATTTTTATTGTTTATGGGCAGTAGTGGTACACACTTTTAATCTCAGCACCCAGAAGGCAGAGGCAGGCAGACTCTGTGAGTTTGAGGCCAGCCTGGTCTACAGAGTTCCAGGACAGCCAAGGCTACACAGAGAACCCCTGTCTTGAAAATCCAAGACACCAAGACATACATATATATACACACACATATATACACCAATTTATATACACATACATACACATATATCTATATGTATATATAGATGTGTGTGTGTATGTGTGTATATATATGTATGTGTGTGTGTGTGCGCGCAGGCATCAGATTTCTTCTCCTACCATGTAGAACCTGAAAATCAAACTCAGGCTTGACAACAGGTGTCTTTACTGGCTGAGCCATCTTGCTGCTCCTATTTTATGTAGTTTTAACCAATAGTAGTTTTCTTCCAAACTTTTGTAGAGACTTCTGGTAGTTTTCAAGAACACACAGCAAATAAATACAGAACCGAGCTGTCATCTTCTCTTTCCTTAGAAATAGTTTAAGCCAGACCCAGGCTTTCATGTTACAGGTGACATGTCCTGGAGACCACAGGGCATATTCCTACCAATAGTACAAACTTCTGCTTCTGCTTCTCTTATTTAATGTGAAAGTGACAGTCAGGATACTCACCACTTACTTCTTAGTTGCTGTACAGGAGAGGACAAGGATATAGGTGGGGTCCAGGGCAGGGCATGCAGGAACAACTCAAGTCATTGAGTTAGGGGTTAGTGTTCTAACCTCCCTACCAGCCTCACTTTGGAGCCATATAACAAAGAGAAATATCTGTGTTCTTAGAGCCACTGTCTCTTGGGGTCTGCTTATTATAACAACCTAACCTTTACCCCTAACTAATAGATCCAATATTGATTCCTTCAAAATACGTTGTCGCTGTCTGCACATGCACTGTCTGTACATGCCTGTAATCCAGCACTTGCCAGGCAGAGGCAGGTGGCTTGGATTTGAGAATCTGAAGCCAGACTGGGCTAACATAACAGAGTCTTTAAAACACATAATACAAAGGGCCAGAGAGATGGCTCAGTGTCTAAGGACACTCCCCTGAAAGCATGGGGGCCCTGAGACTGTATGTGGTGTTTGCAACCCAGCTCCAGGTTCTGTGAGAGAACCTGCCTCAAAGGAAGAAGACATAGGGTGCAGGGCAGGACACACAACACAGGACACATGCTGGAACTGGCTCTCGATGCCTCTTGGAGAGCATCTGAAGACTGTTTCGTCATAGAAGGAGAAAAAGGAAAAAAAAAAAAAAGCACCACTCAGTGACTGATCTCAGGTCTTATGAACCACTGAAAACCTGAGTCAGAGACAAAAGGCTGCACCTGAAACCTAATATGGTAGCACAATGTTGCATTATTTTATGCTTTTTTTTCTTTTCTTAACTGGAAGAAAGATTGGAGCAACACATGTTAGGAGACACAGGCTGGGAGCCACTGGAATGCCGGCTGTTAACACCAAACCTCGGGGTTTTGGCTCTATAAATGACAGCAGGCAGTACTGGGGAGGAAGGGAGCTACTACCTCCTCCTCCTCCACTCATGACTAGGTGTGAAGTCACAGGGCTGTGACTTCTTAGAAGTCACTGCTGTCTTAGCTACCTTGGCCATGCCCTCCAGGTACGACTAAGGAGCAAGGGAGGCAGAAAGCAGGGCTGAAAGGAGACATCAGCCTTGGGCAACAGGAACCAAAGACACCCCCCCACCCCCCCACCCCAGCCTAGAAGGAAAATTGGATGAGCAAGGTGGTGGGAGGTGTGGATTCACCGTTATTTATCCAGGCAAATAGGTTTCAGAAGGGCAGCCAGGAAACCCTTGCGGCCTTCTCCCAACTGAAGAATGGATTATAGTTTTGCTGCAGGCCAGCCACCGTGTAACTATTGCTGCTCACTCCCACAGAGGAGGTGCAGAGGTCATCTTAGCATCTCAGAAACCCGGAAGGGAGGGTTAGGAGGGCCCAGGAAAACCCATCTGCAGGTGGTTTCCTTTGATGTTCCAAGGCAGGCACTAGGGTGCCTTGTGGGTGCTCAACACTTTGTTCCCAAGGCCAAAAGGGGAAGGGAAGAGGAAGGGAGGGAGAGGTAGAAAGAAAGGGAGGAGGCCTCTGAGGAGGAAGAGGTGACTGGCCTCTGAGAAGGAAGAAACATTGCATCAAGCCGACTTTGGCAAGCGCTGGAAATTCTCCCCAGGAGCCAGACTTTCCGGGAAATAGTTTTGCTAGAAACCAGACAAAGATGGGGCAAGGAGCTGGGATGCGGGGCACGTGTGTGTAGTGGGGACCAGCTTCACCTTGGGTTCAAGGTTTGAAAGAAGGTGGTCACACAGCTTCCAGGCAGCGTTCCGAAAGGTGCGCTGGACAGGTGCACACCGAAGTCAGTGACTGAGTGGGGTCCGCGCGCGGGTCAAGCGCATGGACTCCACGCAGTTGCAAGCGCGCCCCCGGGGAGGCAGGTTGGTTAGGAAGAGGGGTGAGATCGCGCGCAAGGTGAAGGTGAACACCTGGGCGTCCCCGCGTGCTGGGCGGGCGCTAGGACCCGGGCGGTGCACCTGTTAGCTGGCGCGGCGCCCCGCCCGCCCAGCGCCGGGAGCACAGGGCTGCAGAGAGCTAGGCCAGGGCGCACGCCGAGGACGCGGACGCGCGTGGCTGCGGGTCAGGGGAGCGGGGTCGCAGCTCACCATGGCCGCGCTGCTGCGGAGCCTGCAGGATTCACAGCTCGTGGCTCGCTTCCAGCGCCGCTGCGGGCTCTTCCCGGCGCGGGAGGACAACCCTCGGGAGGACGACGAGGGCCCCTCGGAGAGCGCAACGCGGGTCCCCGAGGTCGCGCATCTTTCCGCCAACCCGCAGGTAACCGCGGGCAGGTGTCTGCGGTGGGGAGGAGGGCGACGGCCGCCTGCGTGCCTGCGGGTCCGGGCCACTCTGGGATGGGGACATGCTGGCGCCAGCCGCCGCCACCCGGCTTCCACCCTAGGGAGGGTACAGTCCTGGGGGTGGGGGGAGAGGACAGTCACCCGAGGCCACCCTCTCGCTGCAGGTGGCAGCCAAGTCTTTTCAGCTAACACCCGGAGCCTTTGCATGCCTCTGTGCAGAGACTTTCTACTTTAATTACTTTGATGAGTAAGTCCGTCTTTCGATAGATTCTGCCCGAAGTGATAAGAGTGTTACGTAACTGGAATAAAAGGAGCGAGGATGTCCTTGGCACTTTGCTGGGACACAGCCTGAGAACTCTCCTAGGAGTCCCTAGGTTGCTGCCGCATCCCCTTCCTGCTCGGTACAGACTCCGGAGGCGTGCGGTTTGCTTTGCTGCAGCACGGACTCTGATCTTCTCTGAGATCTACATCCCAACCCCCAGCTACCCTCAGGGATGGGGAACCATCACCGGTCTCCCTCCCGACATACCCTAGTCTTGGGGTCCCTGGCTGGTCTTTCATGACTGGTCTTCGGGGCCTTTCGCTAAGTGCTTTGCATCCCAAGAAAGGTTACACAACTCTGCCGCAGCTTTGCGTTAGGCAGCGCACAGGGCTAGGCAGGCGGCAGATGGCAGAGAGCTTGTCCCCTCTGGGTGCCACCAGCAGCTGCCCTTTCCCTTGGCTAGGCAGAAAATAGCAAGCCGGGACATAAGCAATTCTTTTTCTTTTTCTTCTTCCTCTTTCTCTTCCCCTCTCCCTCCTCCCCTCCTCTTCCTCCTCTTCCTCCTCTTCTTTTGTGTTTCGTCCTTCCTGAAAGAGTCTGACGACTGGAAGTTGACATGTTCTTATGTATAGATAACTAGTTAAGATCCTGGCTCTTGTGTAGGATAGAATACTAGAAGCATTGAGTTGCAGAATTAATTTGCAAAGGTGGCAGTGGGCTGGTCGATGTTCTCAGCTGGAGAAATTCTTCTTTATGATATTTTCACTTTGTGGTTTCTTCCTTGTGCTATATGGCATGCTGGCAGTTTTTAGGCTAATTCACGTAGTACCTTGTCTCAGAAGTCCATACAGGCAACGCATAAGACCAATGCCCCACCCCCAAAGGAGGCATTTCCTGCACGGGCACCCTGCTTAGACTCAGGACCGGCCCAGCATGGGCCCCTCTCTATGGAACTCCTCTCCCCCGTTTCTGCTCTTCCTAATTCAGGAAGCCAGGGATGAACTTTTCCACTAGTGTTTCTTAAAGTGTTTTATACCACCCCCATAACTTGATTGCACATTCTAAGGACTGTTTCTTTTCTTCACCCCCATACCCCCTAACCCCCCTTCAAACAAAACCCAAAGCTGAGCAGGTTTCTTGTTTCTTGGAGTGCCCAGATGGTTTGGGGAAATCAAGGAGTTGGGTTCTAGTTCCCAGCCCACACCACAAACTTAGAATACTAAAGTCCACGAAATAAAAGAAAACTAAAAGTTCAGGATCATAAATCCCTGAAGTGGCTATAACAGGAGGAAAAAAATAATTAATTCAAGACCTTTTGATAAGGGAAGGGCTCGTGAGTGTTTTTAAAAAGGTTTGTTTTAAAAGACTTGGGAAGGTTAATCCTTAACAAATACATGGGAAGTTTCCCTAGAGAATAAATTGCATTCCTGCCCACAGATAACTCACAGGGCTTTAAGGTGGCAATTGGGAAAACTCAAAAGAAAACCCTGTTTCTCCCTTGGCTTTTACAAACCGGATGGAGGCTGAACAGCCTTTCAGTAAAATAAATACATAAATAAATAAATCCAAAAGACAGCTTCACTGTGTAGCCCAGGATGGCCTACAAATAGTCTCTTTTGCCTCGGCCTCCCAAGGCCAAGGTTTTGGGTGTGTACCATCAAATCAGACACCCTTCAGCATTCAAAGGCAAGCTTCTCAATATGCCCCTGGCTGATTTCAGGTTCTCTCTGGTTCTGTGAGTTCTCCCTGCGTCTTGGGGTTTGTTGATTGCAGAATGGACTGTCTAACTGCCTTCGTATGGGGGGGATCTGATGATGCCAGCCTCCTCCTGAAGGCTAAAACAAAGCAACTCAGGAGCTTTGTTTGTTCTGCTCATTTTCTTCTCCTGGATTTTCACCCTCTTCAAGCTCTGTGAATTTTGTGGCTATGTAAGCATAGATATCAATACAAAGATCAATAGCTTTTAAGATTTTAAACAGAGACTACTAAAGATCAAATTAAAATATCAAATGATTTTTTTTTCCCCCATGTAGCCTAGAAGACAGCCCTGGGACATTCATATAGGATTATTCAAACAGCTGAGAAGTTAATTCCCTCTTTACTTTAGGAGTTACTTTAGGTCTCAATGAATCTAATTCATCTTCTGCATTTTTCTGTGTTTATTTTAATTCTTAACACTGGACATGTAAGGAAATGGATAAAGACTGCTGCAAATTCCCCTAATACCACACACTTTTGGGTTAAAGATTAACTATATCTTTTACGAGCTAGGGTGTGGCTTGGCTTTCGTGAAGCTATCATTGAAAAAAAAAAAATGGATAGGGCCTTAGACATTGCCCAGTAGGTCTGAGTTCCCAGGGTCGAGAACTCCTGAGATAACTGCACAGTTTCGGGAAGCCAGATCTTTTCATTCCGAAGTCTGAAGTTGAAGCTTCTAGGGCAGAAATTCCAGGGCTTTCATGTATGTGCCTTTTTGAGAAGGTGTGAAGTATCATACCTGGCTAAACAGGGTAGAAATGAGAGAGAGGGAGGTACTACCAGCTGACAATGTAACAAGTTTGCAGGGTTAACCATTGGAGGCCATTCTTCAGTGGCCTATTAAGTAGTTTGCTGCTCTAAGCAAGGATCCTAGGACTGGGTAGGGAGGCAGAGGCCAGAAGAGAACTGTATTTATTTGTTCTGAGGTGAAGCCAACCTTTGATTCAATGGTGTTTTGATTTCTGACATCATCGCTTGCCCAATATAGTTGTGTTTAGGCTTTGCATAGCCTTTCTTCATCATTATGTTGGACTGGGCATGAACTTTCCAAACATCACTGTGCTCAATAAATACTTTTGGACAACTGCTCACACAGTCTAAAATTTGGTCAGGGAGGAATAAAATATAGGTTGTGTTGAAAATTCTTTATTTCAAGCTGCCTGATGGTGGCACACACCTTTAATCCTAGCACGTGGGAGGCAGAGGCAGGTGGATCTCTGAGTTCCAGGCTGGCCTGATCTACAGAATGAGTTCCAGGACAGCCAGGGCTGCACAGAGAAACCCTGTTCCTAAAAACCAAAACCAACCAACCAAAAACAAAAATCTTAGCTACAAGACATCATAATGATATTTAAAGCATTTGCTGATTAATAAAAACATACAAAATAAAAATAATGTAGAAGAGACTATTAGCATATTGTAAACTATTACTGTAAGTGTTACAGCTCTGAGGGGAAAGAGTTCTTGGTAGTTGGGAGCCAAGGAATGCCACACAGTCCCACTACACAACAAACCTCACATGAGAGTTACTGGGAAAGACAAAAAGGTGGCTGCCTCTGACAGAAGCAAGAAGGAGAGAGGAGAAGCATCAGAGAACTGAATGGGAGACATTCAGACTTATATAAAGTTTCTAAACTTATGTAGAGTTTCTTGGGGGGTGAAGTTTTTCAGGGTGGCCTGGGATTGGTGGCATTTTGTAGCCTAATCTTGGAGCAAAGCTCAGGTATTGGTGGGTTTTTAAAACCTGAAAGTGAGCTCGGAATTAAAAAATAAAATAATATCACAGTTTAAAAAGGTCAAAGGTGAAAGGATGCCGCCATCATCATTTCTGATGAGCAAGAATCCCTGCAAGCAAAATAAATGAGAAGATAAAAATAACTCACACTTCTTGATTTTTAAAACAAAAATTTCACCAACGAAGAGGATGCATGTCCTGTAGTGAAGCTCAGATCCACACAACTAAGTTTCAGAAAGACCATTCTTTTCTTTCTTTTTTTTTTTTTTTTTTTTTTTTTTTTTTTTTTTTTTTTTTTTTTTTGGTTATTTTTCATATAATGGTTATTTTTTGGTTGCTGTGACAAAACACCATGACCATGGCAAATATGGAAGAAAAAGTTGATTTGGGTTTACGGTTCCAGGGGGAGAAGAGTTCATCATGTCAGGGAAGCATGGCAGCAAGTTCTAGGCTCTGCAGGAGCAGGTAGCTGAGAGCTCATGTCTTCAAGCAGAGAGTAAACTGGCAGTAAGATTCGAGGCTTTAAAAGCTCAAAGCCCCCCCCCCCCCTGTACATTCTTCAGCAAGACCTCTCATTCTAAGCTTCCCCAAGCACCAGCTGGGGACTAATTATTCAAATCCTGTAGTCTAAGTGGTGCAGTTCTCATTTAGACCATTCTTGCATCCTTGTTTTCTTTTCAGTACTGTTTGTATTGTGGGTATATTATAGTATTTTTGAATGAATGAATTTTGCAAGATGCAAAACAATAAAGCTTCTGTTATAAAGCACACGGGGAAAGATAGATTGTTTAAGCAGTCTTTGTACTTCTGTTTTCTCTCTTCACGCTTTTGAGGCCCACTAAGCCACCTGTAACTCTGCATAACACCTTCATTGGATCAGTGATTTGCTAACCTCCTGGGGGTCAGAAGACTGGGACCTGGCTCTTTCTTCTCTGTCATTTGGACTTCTCTGAGCCTCTTTTGTCTCTTTTGCACAAAAGCAGAGTTGAACAGAATTGTGTTTTGCTAAGTGGCTGTACATTATAGTCACTTGAAGGAACTGAACTTTTAAAAAGTGAGTCAAACAAGCAAAATAACATCTAGAGCTGGCTCTGAGTGTCTAAGTGACTGGAAAGCTTGGAATTCCCTTTTCCTGGGACACACACCCTTAGGATGTTCAGTATAGGGGCAGAAATGAGTCCGGCAGTGGTCATGACAGCTGTGACATTTTGACTTCATTGCA